AGATCTTAGCTGGATATTACTTTCAAGTTCAGTCAAAGTCCAAAATTCACCAGTTGAGGAGGACCACAGGCCAACCTGACTGTGACCCGGCCACAGTGAGTGCAGCAACATGGACCAGGCCAGGGCCGCAAGACAGAACAGGGTCTCTGAAACCAGAAACCAGACCTTCCCTCAAAAACCCACAAGCTCTCACCTCAATTTGTAATCCTTCTTTATAACATCCTGTTTGTTTACTTCATGCTCCTCAAACACCTTAAAACCTGCTCTTACTACAAAGTTGGGTAAGGCTGGATTCTGAGCCCCGCTTAGCAACTGTGCTTGCCTGCTCTCCCCTCAGCTCTAGGGAGGTCCAACTTCCTGTCGCCCTCATTCCTCAGACCCCAGCAATGAGCTGCTCAGCACCTTCAGAGTTCAGAGGTTTCCCTCTTCCAAAGTGCCTCTATTCCAACCCACTCAAGTTAACCCCATTAGAAAAATCCCAAAAGAACTTTCCACATGGATGGAAATGTTCTGTACTGTTCACTCTCCATGGCCATTAGCCATGTACGGTTACTGAATACTTGAAATGTGGTTAGCAATTCCCTTTTTTTTTTTTTTTTTAAATAACTGGCATGCTTCACTGCCTAAGTTTAAGGTGCACAGCATGATGGTTTGATTTACATATAATGTGACAGAGTGGCCACAACAGGCTCTGCTAACACCAGCACCTCACCACCTCACCACCTCTGTGGGCACAATAAAGACAAGAAAAAATTCTCTCTGAGGTCCGAACTCTTGTGATCCACTGTCTTACCAGCTTTCCTAAGTATGTGACAGAGCGTTAATTATAGCCATCAGGCTGCACCTTACCTGTAACTGGAGGTGAGCACCTTCCTCCAACTCCCCCTCTGACCTCTACGAGTGTAGTCTCCTTCTTTAAGTTCAGTTGCATTGTTTTAGATTGCACATGTAGTAAGATCAGACAGTCTTTGTATTTCTGATTTCTTTTACTCAGCATATCTTCAAGGTCATAATTTAGTTTAATAAGTTTTACTTTAAATAGCTCTGTATGCGTGTTGGCTACCATACTGGGCAGCGCAGCCCTAGACTAACTTTGCTTACTTTATTAACTTATCCTTCTCCTAATTAATTCCTTGACCCACAAAATTTTAAGGTCCCAACTAAGCATATGGGAACATATGCTTAGAACACTTGGGAAACTATTAAGTACCTGTAATCATACTCGACAGAAAGAAGCCAGTTCAATCAATGCACCTCCCTGGCTTGTGATTTCACCCAGGTACCCCACTCCATCAGAGCAGCACCCGTCGCCAGGCCCGTTCCCCATCCTGCACAGAGCCCAATGGCTGCCTCTCCTGGGGGAAGCGGTATACTGGCACTTCCTTCTCACAGTGTGCCATGAGGTGCCAATCACCCCCCTTTCTGAACACCAGGTCATATTGCAGTGACACTGAAGTGACCTGGGGAAAGGAGAAGAAACCACAGGACATGGTTTAATCTACACAATGGAAAGATAAACAGAGATAAGTTATGACAACATTCTATATTTTATAAAGTAATAACATGCTTCAACTAATCAGAGTCACACAGGAGAGGGGCAATGGTGCCAGCTTTAATTAAATTTGTTCAGCTAATACCTAAGAGTCACCATGACACAGTGAAGCAGGAAGCAGCTGAGGAACCCCGCAGGGAACACAACCAATTACTGCACAAGTGGGTTGAGACTAGACACCCCTACCAAAGAAATAGGTATTAGAATTCCATCCTCTTCTACAAATAATAATAAATAAGATTTCTATCAAACACTCCCTTAAAAGGGAGGGGTGGAAAAAGACTTACCGTAGACTCAAAACTCATGGAGTCGCCAAGTTTACTGATAGCGGCCCCTTCAATGTTGGGTATCATTGCTTGGGGTGATGATGAATATCTCCCCAGCACCCCCATGCTGACAGTCCAGGGGGGTCCTGAGGTGAGGCAGAGGAGCTCCTCAGGCTTGCGGTACTCAGGAGCAGCAGCTGGGCTGTCCAGGCCGTGGGGTTTCTGGGACCCTGAGTGGGAGAGGCCTGAGTGGGAATCGGAGTTCAGAGTTGTGGACCTGCCACAGCCAGAACCACCTCAAGCGAGCTACTCCATCTCTCTGGGCCTTAGTTTTCTCATCGGCAAAATGAGGGGTTATAGGAGATGACCTCTAGAGTCCCTTCCAATTCTGACTGAAGGATGAATATAACTCAGAACTTAGCAAAAGCAGCAGGGAGAGATACTGAAGTAAGGCCACAGCACCCACCAAACACATTTCAATGTGACCTCTCTGAGGCAGAAGCAAAGCAGCAACGATGCTGGCTGGGACTATTCTTCTTTAAAACACTTCACAGGGCTAAGAGGTCACACGCCAGGGAGTAGGGTATCTGTGGCCACTACCCCCATCAACATGTTTTGAAGCAGCAGATGAGACACCCAATCCGTAGTCCCACTGCTGCCCTACAGCTCTGTTCCAAATCCCCCAGGAATGTGTCAGTACACTGTGGAGAGAAAAGGTCTCCTTCCTCTTTCTCCAGCCGCCTTCCCAATGGGGCAAGCCCTCTGCCCCTCATCCTCCTCCTTTGCTTTATACAAAACTGTCCTAATTTTGAAAGTCATCTCACTACTCAGCACCTACAGTTAAGTTAATCAAGAGTCAAGATCTAGAAATCCCTTTGGTGTACATCTCTGGATTCTTTGAACCAGATTCTCCCCACAGCTGTAATTATGTCTTAACCAATATTTGGATATGGAAGAGCTGTTGACACTCTGTCAGCCTCTGAATGTCTCATCCCTTCTCCCTTCCTCTATTATTAAGTTTTTACGCAAAGATGTGTGGGAAATCTACAATTTAACAACTGAGTCAACTTATAAGATCTGGGAGCAGGCAATCTGTCAAAACAGACACTGACTCCAATCTTCACACACTTCCAACCTGAGAAGAATAACCTACGAATGTTATTGAAAATATTGCTAGATTTTTTCCTTTCAAACCTATTCAAAAGAGGAAAATACCAAGATATCTCTCTGATTAACTTCAAGAGAAATCTGAGTTTGCTCCTAGGAGCATTTTAGAGAGTGATTTTGTGTCTCTATCACACAGATAAGTTGAGTGCTTTTGTGCTCCTAGGAGCATTTTAGAGAGTGATTTTGTGTCTCCATCACACAGATAAGTTGAGTGCTTTTGTTCTGAGGTCTTTATACACTATTCCAGCTATCTGAGAGAATGAGCAGCCAGTGTCCCCAAAGTGTTAATGGGGGAAGGCAGATGGTGTCTCAGAAGGGATAGAAAACTCCTGGAAAGAAGGTCTGTTACTTCCTCCATGGTTACAAGTTAACTGTGGTCAAATTCACCCAACTTCACTCCCCAAGTTCACAGCTAGACTCACAAGCCCACTCACCCAACCCAGCCTGGCTCTAGTTATGAGTATGGAAAGAGTGCTCTAAGGTATAAGTGTTAACGATATCAATATATTCCTTCTCCAACAGTGCAACGATAATCAACAACTTCTAATAGGAGCCAAAGAAATGTGACAATATTGGAGCTAGCTCGAAGCTCTCCCCTAAAAGGGAGGGTGAAAGCAGCAAGGAAATCATTTCAGAGGCCTTAAAATCTGACAACAGAGACATGCTTGCCTCCTACTAGCCCCAAGTACCATGTCTCTATGATGTCTAAACATACATTCCAACAGTTCCACTCATAACACATACCTGCGTTTTGTATTAATAGCCGAAATACAATTAGCCATGAGGGTGTAGGGGAGAAAGAAAAATAACACAGGAAGTATTTTTCTCCTCTTTCAATCATTATGACACCCCAGGGTTATAGACCTGTTGAGGAGTCCCCTTTAGAGATGCGGTTTGATCTGAAACCCCTCAAAGGAGAAAACCTTTTCACTGACCCTGAATGACTGGCCCCCAAGGCATGCTGACTCGCCCATCGCATCAGATCTTGAATCTACTCGGTTTAACTTCTGAAGTAGTTAGTCTCACTTAAATATCCCGCACCGCCACACACCCCTACCCCCTACCCCCACCCCGCCTTCTTCAAAGGAGAGACAGAAATAAAGGCTGCGTTTCCCCGGTTCAAGGGCAACGCTCCCTCCTGCCGTCCGTTGACCAACCTCCCAGGTCCAGGACTCAAATGACGGGCTCCGATTTGCAGAATCAGCGCCGAGCCACGCCGCGGTTTACAGACCTGGTTTACAACGATCAATGGAGCTATGGAAACAGCAGACACCGCGCCGGAGCCTGCTGGCCTCCCATCTGGAGCCTCCCAGACACTGGAGGTAGGAGGGGGCCTGCCTCGGATCAAAACAATCCCTCCCCCGCGCCCGGGAGGCGGTGTCCCCGCGGAATCTCCAGCCTTGCACCGCCCGGGTCGGCGCACCCCTGGGCGGCACGGCGGCACCCGCGAGGCCCAGGGAAGTGAAATCACACATTCCGGCTCCCAAATAAGGAGCGAGGCTAAATAAAAACCTCTGAGATCCCACTTCTCCAAACCAACAGACCAACCAGTTCAATGAGTAATGGGCCTTTTGTGCCCACTGGGGAAAAAAAAAAAAAAAAGGACAAGAGGTGGGGAACCATAACCCCTGAAAATCACTTCCTTGAGACAGTGAAACAGCAAAGGTGTCCCGGAGCCAACCGTTCCGATTCGCCTGGATCCCGCTCAAACCCCAAAATGGCAGAGTCCTCTGAGTCCTCCCGAGTCCCGGCCACTCACACCGGAGGTGACCGGAAACTCCGTGCCGGCGGCGTGGTCCGCTCGGTCCTGACCTTCCCGCCCCCCGCCCCCGCGACACACTGGGCACCCGCGGGTGCCTACGACCCGCAGCCCCGCGGCGACGCGGCCCCGGGTGGAGGGAAGGGCCGACGCGACCACGCCAGGCGACCCGCGCGCTCGGGCCACCGCGGGGTGCCGGGGTGTCCGCGGGAGCTCCCCTCGGCCCGCCTGCCCCTCCCGTGGACCCCAAACCTACTTTTAGGGCGAATTTCTCCTGGGTCTTCTTGTTGAAGATCTGCAAAACTTTCCCGTTGATGCCCAGTCCCAGGACCTGGGTGGTGACCTTGTAGTCGTCGATGATGGCGTTCTTCTTGATCTGCAGGCTCGACTTGACATAGAACTGGGGGGCCCGCGGCGAGGGCGAGCCGTGCGGGGGCGGCGGCGCCGGCAGAGGGCACTGCGCGCCGGGCATGGAGTGCGTGAAGAGCCGCAAGAGGCGGAAGGGTAAAGCCGGGGCAGCAGCCGGCGGCCCGGGGGTGAGCGGCGTGTGCGTGTGCAAGAGCCGCTACCCGGTGTGCGGCAGCGACGGGAACACCTACCCCAGCGGCTGCCAGCTGCGCGCCGCCAGCCTGCGGGCCGAGAGCCGCGGCGAGAAGCCCGTCACCCAGGTCAGCAAGGGCACCTGCGAGCAAGGTGGGCATGAGCGCGGCCCTCGCCGACCCCGCCCATCGCGGCGCGCGCGGCGGGAAAACCCGGAGCCCACAGACCCGGCACCGCGGCCGCGGCTTGCGCGCGGGGGTCTGGTCCCCCCGCCGCCTCCCGCGGCACAGGGCAGGGGAGAAACCCGTGGCGGCTACGGGGATACGGAGAGGGATGGGTGATGCCTCCCATCTCTCTTCTTGCGGAGGGACGGTGGTATCATTTTGAATTTGGCGCACTCGCCCACTACTGACCGGCGAGCGTATATGTAGAAAGTGTTTCCCCCCTCCATCTCCAGACGCCCCACTTCGTGCTCCCCCACTTCGTGCTAACAAGTTGATTTGCAAAAGCTGCCCTCTCCCTCTTGCAAGCCCAAACGTGTCGTTTTCTGGTCCTTCTTTCTTGGCTGGGGATAGGATTAGAGGTGAAGTCTAGAGAGTTGGGTAGAAGAGCTTGACTATAAAATAGAAAGTCAGAACTTTAGGAGAGATGTTAGTTGTTCCACGTCTGGCTAGATTGAAATAATTTTTTAATGGATTTCATGGTTTTTTAATAGTAAGGAACATGACTCACTGGAACTTGTGGATTTGCAGACAACAATCTAACTAGCTAATTTTTGTGGACAAAAAAACACAAACTCTTTGAAGAGTGTTTTTTGATGTAGTTTATTTTGTGAA